CCCTCAGGTCTCCCTTATAAAGGCTTTAGCTATTGGACTTTTAGCACCATGTGGATTTACTGGTGTTATTCTACATATTTCACAGTCAGTAACCAAATGAATGTAAATATTAATTGAAAAATTAATCAAATTTTTTCCCTCTACCTTTGGTCTGTGTAATTAGAAACATTTCTTCTGTGTCACTGTCCACTCTGCTGCTCCCTTGTTTGTTAAAGGGTGATCTCTTTTATCCTATAGACTCCAAGGGAAATTACTGGTGTTATTACCAATGGCAGTTGCGGTGATGCACAGAATTGTCCCTCTCGTAGTAACGACCTTGAGTTTTATGAGGCACCTCAAGGTTTACTAACAAGGGTGGAACGGCTAGAAGTTTGTTAACCGAAATGATGAAATATGTTAGAGAGGATACAAATGAGTTTAAAGCCAATTCAATTAGAAGTGCATCTGTTTCCAAAGCTGCTGGAGAAATGTTTATTTTTGAATCGCTTTTAAGTCAGCCTCTTGGAATTCTGTTGGCACTGTTGTTTAATGCTGTGCACAGACCTTACACCCGCAGCAAATTTATCATTTGGGAGTGCAACAATCAGGTGGATGCCAGTGTCTTACGTTAACCTGTAAACCTACCAATTGCCTCTTTTCCTACGACAATCCATTTGCAAATATAGAGGGGGACACGGAAGGACGCTGCAGCCCCTGGCTGGCTGTGGCTGGTGTGATATGTGCTGCGTCTTGGGTAGGTAGGAAAGAAATCGTACTGCTGCAAAACTGTCCCCCCGATGCTGCAATGCAATCCACAGCCTCTTCGTGCTTCTGCGGCGCTGACACCCACCAGCCCATCGTCCAGCTGCCTCCTATTGCCTTGGCTCTTTTGGGTTGCACAGCACGAATGAGACAAGAATAACAGTTTTAACACCATGTATTTGAGCCTTCACCTCCAACACCCACCAGACCATCATCCTCACTTTATTCATCACCCTGCTATTGCTTCATCTCTTGGGATGCACAGAAGAAATGAGACAAGAGTAATAGTTCCTACATCATGTGTTTGAGCCTTCCCAGTACATCCCATGTAATCATAGAATCATTTAGGTTGGGAAAGACCTTTAAGATGATTGAGTCCAACCGTAAAATTGTGGGTGCTTTGTTTATTATAGACACTTTAAAGGAAGAGACTTCATTTGTGGCTTGTAGAGCAACAAGCACATTGTTCTTAATGAATAAATAATAGTAAAATGAACTGTGCAGCCTAGGTAAATGCATTTGTTCATCCCATTATGTTAGCAGTGTCTCAGTAGTAAAACAATAGCACTTAAACATAGAAAAGGCTTATTTGATCATCCAGCTCATTTTTCCTGCCAATTCAGGACTATTCCCAGTAGTATGTTTCAAAGTGCTTACTTAAATATCCCATGCACTGGTGTTTCGGTCGCTACCTCCTGCGACATCTGTGTGTGCAGCTCCAGGAGCCTGCTGTTTGTTCAGATAGGACAGAGACTCTCATCTGTTGTTTCTAAATTAAATGAGCTTTAGTTTAGCAGTATTTGAGATTTTTGAGGAATAAAAAAAAGAGGTTAAAGGAATTAATATAAGAATATGTAGAAAGCAGGCTGAGCAGGGCTGAGGAGAAGGAAACTCAGTGATGAGGAAACTCCATGAATTTTTGGTATCAGGTTCTGTAGAGGAGAGAAAAATGGGGAATATGATGGGTGAATGAGATGTTTAAGGGTGACACTGACAAAACCAGCTGAGTAAACTCAACCTTGATTATGCTGTTTCCTTTATACATATTCTGATACGGTAAGCAGTATTTCTCTGGATAATAGCCTGAGTGTGGAATTCTTTATTAACACATTGTTTTAATAGCATTATCTCCTGTGGTTTTTTTCTTTTGGTTTTGTATTAGGCACCATGCCCATGCTACGAGTTTTCTAGGAATCCCAATACTAGGATTGTTTTGGGTATCCAAACTGAATCCAATCCCTGATTGGCTCCTGCAAAGAAAAACAGATATCCCATTCTCATAGGCAGTGGATGAGCTGAGTACAACATTATTTACTAGTTCCTCATAAAAAAATAGCCATAAAGGCATTCTATCATAGCAGAGAGGATATATCACATAAAGATTTTTGGAGGAAAATTTTTGTTGAATGAAATCTTTGATCCATGGGTATCTTGGCATAGGATTAACCTCAAGTGATTGATAGAATAAATAATGTCAGCCTGTGAGAAGAGCTTGAAAGACAGTTATATTCCTATTTTGATTCTGTAGCATTGTTTAGTATGGAGAGTTAGCTTCCTCTGGGCACGATGGTAATTTAATGCTCTATTAGCTGGCCATTATTTGTTTATACTTAATGTAATTTAGAAATATGGGTGAGGAAACTCAAAAAGTAATGAGCTGGCCTCTTGGCAACATCTTTAGAAATTCTGTGATTCGCTGGGGGATCCCCACACCACTTCCCAGGGATGGAGTACAATACGTTCCTCTACTTTTGTTTATTGTAACTTTTCCTTCGTTTTCCTTTTATGTCTTTTTTTTTTTTTTGTCTTACATTTCTTGTTATTATAGAGGTAGGTCTTGAACTGCCAAAAGGTTTAGCCCATTTTGCCTTCACTGATAAGTTGATAACCCCTCTGTCTGATCCTGCTTTGAAACAGGGCACTTTCTTTGTGTCTGTTGAGAGTTAATTACCTAGCCTGTCACACAGACCAAGGAAAAATGATATTTCATACAGTGGTGGAACAGAACTCTTTGGAGAACTGCCTAAGAAATGCTTCTCATAAATCTATCATGAGAAAATTTCTTTTACTTATCATAATGTATTATGAATTGCTTTGACTGGCAACCTAAGCAGGTGGAATAGAATACTAGTGGGATATTTGGGAGTTTCATTTGGGGAAAAAAAGCAAGTCTATTTTAGAAATACTTGTCTGTGTGTGTGCATGGGTGTAATCTCAGGTGAGAATACAAGACATGCAAAGTTGAAATATCTCAAACATGTGAACACCTCTGTAATGGGTTGGGTAGGAAATAATTAAGGTACCTAATTCCAGTGGCTCTGGAGCTGCAAATGGAAAGGCAACACAATGCAAGATAAGAGGTAGCAGAGTGGATAGAGCACACCGTATGGGGACAGGTCTGCAGCTTTAGCCAAGAGTTACAGCATGAGTTACAGGGGAGAAATGATTGCAGCTGTCAGGCGACGGGGTGGCCACCGTAAACGAAGAGGGAACTGTACTATCATGAAGGAAAAAGAGAGAAGAAATAGAGCATCATTGACCTGAAGGAGGGTACTACTGTTGTTTCCAGCATTTTTTTAAGGCACTGTTTACAAAAACAACATCAGTATTTCTTGTACTTCTAGAAGGAGGATAATTTCCAGTGGGGGATGCCTAAATAAATCTGCAACCTTTCTTGGTATTGACTTCAACATGAAGACCAGGAGGGAGGCAGCATATTGCTGCTGTGGGTCGATGCTCAGGATGTAACGCAGTCCTGGTTTGGAGTCAGCAGCAGGTTTGTGTATGGCAGAGACAGTAAATCCAGCTCCAGGCCAGAATAATCTCCGTGCCTTACTCAGCCTTGGTGCTTCCCGGTTGTTTGGGGCTGTTGTCTCGGGGTTTTGGAGGGCAGCTGCTTCTGGGTTGGGTTTTTCTGGGGTTTGTTGGTTGGTGGTGTTTTTTTTTTTCCCCTCCCTGACTGTCACCTTTACAGGGTAGGGAAACTCTTCATAAAAGAGTAATTGAATGAGCTAATTTGGTATTCTGTAGGTAAGGAATATAGAGGGAGTGCAATGAACTCCAAAGAGAAAGAAAGGGCGTAAAAATGAGAAACAGCAGAAATACAGTAGGACTGGAATTCGGTTATTTCCAGGATCATCATTGCCAGAGCTGTTAGAGGGATGAAGCCACCTGTAATAAAGGCTGATCTTAGCAGCCACTGACTTTCATGGTCTAACATGAAATCTCTTTTTTGTTTAAATTAAAATAGTACATACAGACATGACAAGCAGCTAATAGAAACTCAAGGAGAATGAATGCAGAAAGGTGCAGGAGCTATTCCACACTGCCAACCGAGAACTGGTGCCAGTAATTCCCTGGGAGACCCTGAGGGTTCAGCCACCCTCCACTGCCTTTCTGCACACTGGGAGCTCCATGGCCAGCATGGGGCTCTGCAAAATCTCTCTTCCCACATGCAAGCTCCTAAACCGCTGTGGGGTTGTGCCTGTATAGATGAACTCTGTTTTTTCCCTGAGAAACCCTGTTGGGTTTTAATTCAGCAAGGTGTTGGTCCTGCAGATGTCTGGTATTCTGCTTTTGAGAGGTGATGATCTTAGGAGGACTTTTATGTCAAGCCAGGTTAAGGTAAAAGCAAAGCTTTAAAATGCCATTTGTGAAACCCAGAATAGGCAAAAGAGTTGTAAAGAGAACTATCAGAAAGAAGTGGGAAGCGTGCTTCATCTGCTTCTCCCAAAAACAAATCCTACACCGTTCCAGCTGGCCGGCTGTGGGCAGGTCCCTCGGCGTATCTTGTGGGAGCTGCCAGGAGCACAGCTCTGGTGCCTCCACCATCCTCTGATCCTGCAAGCCTCCAACTCCCTGCCTGTGCCAGCTCTGGGGATGGCTAGCATAATACTAAAGGAGTACAAAATTGGGTGGTACGCTTAGTTCTCCAGATTCTATTATGGCCACAATCTTATAGGGAAGATAATCACCACCTCTTGGTGACCACCAGCTTCGCAACAGATACATTTGCAAGTGTGTGACCTTTACATCAGTCACTTTTATGGCGGCTTTCATTGAGCTAAACCAAGTAGAAATTAGTTTTAGTCACTTCTGTTCTTTACAAGTATCATAATCTCATGTTAGGACGGTGTTGTCAGTCTGCCAACTTTAAGAAGTTCTCATTTTGTGTGAGTTACACAGATTACAATGAGACATCAGAGGATTGGAGTTCACTAGTTGTGGTGATTAAAACCTTTCTCAAATTTTTGGTTTAGGTTACATTGAAGAATCTTGCACGGTCCCTTGCCCGTTTGATTGCAAATTAAGCGATTGGTCCAGTTGGTCCCCTTGCAGTTCTTCTTGTGGACCAGGGGTGAAAGTCCGATCCAGGTGGCTTAAGGAGAAGCCTTACAATGGAGGTCGTCCCTGCCCAAAGCTGGATCTCAAGAATCAGGTGAGCGGCATTAAATAAGCAACAGAAATCTCTCTGTGTTTACTCTATTTTTAATTGTGATCAAAAGATAATGTGCTGGTGAAGAAATTAAAAATAGGAGTTGTCTCTGGGATCCCACCTTGTGTCAGATTTTGTAGGCAATCCTCAAACTTCTTGAGGATGGAGGGGGAGATGCTCATGTAACAGCAAGGTTTGACCTGAAACACAGAGCCCTGGACGAATAACCCGCCCTGGACAGTGTATAAGCATCAGAGAGCTCAGATGTCATGGATCTTTTAAAAGTCGTTAATTCTCTCTGAGACTATGGTTGCTGCAAAAACATTTGTTAAATATATATTGCTTTTTTTAGCAACATTTCCCTTCAACACAAGTTCCCTTGAACATTAATCTCTGTATATTCAATATTGAAGTATCCCATCAGAGGAAAGTAGTCTCTAAATTGCTACTCTTTAAAAAAGATCAGCATCTATTTAAATGCTATTTAATGCTGTATGCATTTCAGCAAAACTAATAGTGATTTCCTGCATTTGCTGATTAATTCTCAACACTAATTAACACTGATGAAGTACTATTAAGTTTTGCCTGTCCTTTATTTCAGTTTCAACTATGAAAATTAATAGGACAGAAACAGTCATGCTGAAGGACTTCATATATATGTTATGAGTATATATATAAAAATATGTTGCTTAGTGTATATAGAAGGACTGTAATAGTATTCATGCAAAGATTTATTTATGTAGTGGCTTGAAGGTGCTAGAGCTGGTGGATCCAGTTGTTTGCTGCAGCAGTGGTGTCCTGGGATGCAGCACCGCTTCTAACACCTGATTCTGAACTTGCCTCATTTTCTTCACAGTTTATTTTTTTTCCTGTGAGAAACTTGGTAAATACTTCTGCTTCTTTCTTTTTCCATATTACTATTTGAAATTCATAGGCAGTAGCCTAACAAAAGCAGCAGGGACTATGAAAATACAAAACTGCAATAACATGTATGTTGTCCATACCTCAGTGCTTTTCTTAATAGATCAGACAGATCACCAAAGAGACAAAATGAAATCCCACAGTAAGTCGTATGGTAACAATAAGCTCCTTTGTAATGAAAAGATGCTGGGGTTTGTTACCCCTAGACACAGCAGACTACGTCTATTAAAAGTAAACTCATTGCTATAAAGTGGTGCCTATTCCCACACACATTAAATTTGCTAATTTCAAAAGCCTTTCAGAAGATATGAAAGGAAAGAAATTGTTTAAACTTGGAAGTTACATCTTTGTAAGGTTTATCGGTGCACGGTGCTTGCTAAGTGCCACGGCTTGTATTAATATAAATGTGGTCGGTGCTTTTTGCCTCTCTACCAGGAACACGTCTTGATCTAAAACCTACTGAATTCATTAGAGGGCTTCCTATTGCGGGCTCTGTTAGTGACATCTTAGAAGCCCATTAAGGTCTGGGGGTTTTAGGTATGGTGGGTTTTTTGTTTTGGGTTTTGGGTTTTTGTTTGTTTTGGAGTTGTGTGGGGTTTTTTTTTTTTTTTTTATATTTAAAGAGGCAGAAGCTATTTCAGTATACCAATGGATTACTTTTTCCAATTTAGATTTATAGCATTGGATCAGATCCTATAAATTTCAGAGCTTTTAGGATAAGAAGAAATTGTACTAATAAGGAAAGTGTGTGTGTTTATATGCATGCTTATATATGCACACATGTACACATATTGTGTGTGTCTTTCTGTTCGTTGCCTCCTCAAATGCTTCTCAATCCTTTGTGTGGTTCGGAAGGAGTTTTGCTCTGCACCCACTGGACTTTCAGTTCCAGCACAGATTTAGACGCACTGAGGACCTTAGGCACATTGCAGCATGCACAACTTGCCTACCCAGATGGTAAACTAAATTAGCTGATCGCACTGCTGTTTAGCTAAGCTGGACACATATCATTAATCCACTGCAAGGCAGATTGTCTTCTGTTTCTTCTGGTGTGGATGGTGTTTAAATCCTAGAGCAAAGCTCTGTATATTCTTTATGTATAAATATTTGATGTGACATCCTAATTATTTTTATATAATCTAGGTTAAATATCTGCAGTCAAATACTTGATTTTGTTTGATATCAGAGATGAGAAAGCTAAATCACCTTGGTGCTGAGATTTGCTTTTTCTCTCACTGGCTACTGTGTTATATTGTTTTATGCAGTTGATAAAGACATTAGAGAACTTAGAACGAATAATAAACTCCTCTCTGTGACAGTAGATTTCTTTTATTATTTCCTCCACTATTTTTAGTTATTTTCTTTTAATTATTGCTTCTGAGCTTGGGTCTTGCTATTGCTTAATCAATTACTTTGGAGAGCCCTCCATTTTCCAGTGTCTTATAATTAAAGCCCTCAGTCAGTTTGTGTCTTTTTCTCATTAAGCCAAATAATCTTTTCACCCTCTTCTTGTGAAGGGTGTTTTCTAGGCTTCTTGGCAGACCTCTGCATGTCTTTGTTTTTTTTTTTCAATGCCTTTCAGGTATTTGACATAAATTTAACTACAGAGAGCATTATGTAAAACACTATTCCAGCAATTTTCTCTTACTATTTCCCACCATGTCTGAGGCTCTGCCAATACAGATACTTTAGCAAAGCTTTGGACAAAGGCGCAATTTGCACAATCAAAACAATTTATTTGATGAATATAAATAATTATTTGAGTCACATATGCTGTTTTGTAAAAGACTGTCCTCATAGAATCAGTTCGATCAGTGTAGCGCAGCTTTCTTGTGTATTCAGGACAGAATTTTTTAGCAGGAGTTTAATTTTATACAGAGATAATGACACATCCTGTTAATGCCTGATATTCTGTGGGTTTTATGCTCTCAGTTCCACAGAGGTTTTGGCTCTTCTGGAGTATCATGAATCCATTCTTTCGGATGTCTTCATCCCCCCTCTGCCAGTAGAACCTCTCAAGCAGTCCACTCCTTTTGCAGTAGATCCAAGAAGTAAACTCAGATTTAGGAGAATTAATTCAGCTTTTATGTATTTCTTCTTCTCATTACAGTCAATGGACTAGGTTGAGCCCTTCCAGATTTCCATTCCAGGTTTTGTTATTTTCTAATGAAAGTGACAAACAGTTTGTTGATACAGACACTTCAGCCTTAAGCTTCCTTTGTGTTACTGCCCTGTGAAATTAAAAGATGAATTACAATATTTCGGGGAAAAGATGACAGTATTTTAATGCAGATCCATGTAATACGTTGAATTACTTTCATCTTGTACCTGTAAGTGTTTGAAAATCGTTGAAGAGTTGGCTAACTACGTTTTGCTCCATCTTTTAAAGAAAATGGGCATTGCATGGAGAAGCTGTGCAGCTCTTATCTAAGGATATGATTGCTTCTGAACAGCCGATTGGATTATGGGGTCAGCTGGCAGATGTTCTTGGCTGTGTGATGCATGTTAAAAGAGGTGTAGCATTTACATTTTTCTATTTCTGCTCTTACTTGAATGCACTTACACAGCATGCAGTTGCTAAGCTATTTAATATGTAGTTCTACATGATGAAAGGTTAAATATGAGTTATAGGGGGTTTATTGCTTGAATATTCTTCTATAGGTTTTTAGAATTACTACAAGAAAACGCATCTTATTTTCAAGACTCATGAATTCCAAGGATTATCTTTTTATTGATTGCTCTAATATATATTCTTGTCAAGATTTTCCCTCCTCTTTCCTACCCCTCTGTCTCTTACTCGGTCCTGCTAAAGAACAAATATCGTAGCAAGTAGTTTATTCCCTTTATGTATACTGCATATATTTAAGTAAACATTTTTAAAGGATTGAGAGCATTTGTAAAGGCAGGCATAGCAGGAAAAAATGTAATGTATTTGAAATTTAAACATAAATGCTTTCTTTAAAATGAGTATTTTATTCCTAATGACGTTTTCCGGTGTTCACTCTAGAATATGAGAAATACACACACCTTGCACATTACAATTGCAAGTACTTTTCCTGAAATTGCATGTAGAAGCTTAAAGAAAGGGAAAAGGAGAACAGTGGTATATTTACAGATCAAATTTCCCAGAAGCAGGTGTGAAGATGTATGAATTTCTGGTAACCTTTTCATAGAAAATGACTGGTTTAGTCCTACTTGCACTTCAGAGAAAACTGAATGTGTTAATTTTATTTTCAAAAGTGAAAATCCTACAAAATTATAGGGTTCCAAAACTCTCCAAAATGTACAAGATTGGATGGGCTCAGAGACTGCTGTTAATTGTAGAAGCCCCTATCTCTTGTGAGGCAAAGCTGGGCTTGGGCTAGAGGTGGAGGAGGCTGTGGATGTGTGATCTTTCCCCTTTTCTAATCTGTAACGTTAGGAAAGGTCTGTTCAGGAAAGGCCTTTTGTTAAGGTGTTTCCAGGGCTTTTCAGACTTCTAATTCCTAAAAAAACCACAAAGAAAACTAACACAGTAGTATACAGACTAAAGTTTGACTTGCTCACATTCAGTAGCTGTTTCTTAAGGCAATTTTTGGCTCACATTTGGCATGCTAAGTTTCTGTGATCCAAAAAAGTGCTTAGACTGTGTCAGAGGAACTCTGCCTGAGGAAGAGCAACGTAGCATGGCTTATCACAGGGCAGTGTAATGAAACAAAGTCCATTTTTATTGAGGTAGGTAATTGTTTTCAGAGCAATAATTTTGTATACAATAAAGTTTCTGAATAAGCAACTTATAACTACTGTATTTCACCTGTTTTCCTTCAAGTTCTATTCCTGTCCTTACTTGCTGACACAAGATATTTGCAACCTCTTTCACTTATCGTTGCCCGCTATCTGACTGTAAATTATTAAAATAGTATTTATTCTCTTAATCTTGAGTGTGTCTGACTATAAGAGTTTATTTTCATGCTTTGTTTTGGTGTACTCGGTTGTATTGTTCCTTTGCATAAATACATCTTTTATACATACGTATGTATGTATGTGTATGTACATTGTATGAAACATTTTCAAAACTGTTAGGCTCCTGTGTTAGAAGTCAA